TGTGAGTGCAGGGCCGGACATCATTTTTCGGATCGGCTCATGTCAACCCGTCGGGCCCTGCACACGTCAGCTTTATGGGATTGCGCACACGGGGGCCGCAGGGGTCATATGATAAGTAACTTATTCTTCATGAATGCAAATGTTTATTCCATGTTTTTATACACTTACCCCTGATTCCACGCGCGATTGAGCCTCTGTTCCCTCTTCTTTACTTCTTACTGAGCTCATTGACAGTCTACTAAGAGCACGGGATTTTCTTCGGTTTCTTGTCCTCACATTTGTGACTCCCTCTTTGGAAAAAACCGATGAGTTGTCATCTGCGTCTTCTGAGGTGGAGCTCCCACCAAACGAAACCTTCTTTCTTTCTGTCATGATGAAAATGAGGCGGACTGTCCGACTGCTTGAGACTTGCTATTTAAAAGGCTAAACCATGAAAAAAAATTAAGAGTAAAACGTTGTCAGGAAAAATCTCAAGTTCTTGGCTGTTACCTTGTTCCCAAGCGTCAATTCTCAAATGTCTATATTTTAAGAAGGTTGCGTGCCAGTGTTCTAACCTCTCAGCTTCTGTATTTTTCTCAGGGCGTTGCTTGATACTCTACCCAGGTCAGGCTCGGTTCCTATCTTTATTAAAACCTCTAATGCCAAACTCCACTCGTTTGGTTCTACACGTAGTTACAGTTTACAATACAACACTCGAGTGCTAAATCAGTTGAAATGAAACCGGGTCATGGATGCAAGACATATCATGTTATAGGCATTCCAATCTTTTTCTATTTATTAGGCTCCTCGTAGACATCGAAAAATCTTTTAAACACTTGTTTCAGTCTTTTGCAAAGATTGCGCAAGTAACTTCGGGGGGGGTTCTTTTAGATGAACTCCTTAGGATGAACTCTAGAAGCAGACTTTTTCAAGTCATTTACAAACGTTTCTCCGATCGCTCTTCTTTACCATACGAGATCATATTTCTGGGTTTATGTCTGTGTCGTTATCGATCGGAAAAGCATTAAACATGGATGATGTTACGTTCGTAAAAGAGTTCTGGTAACTAAAACTAGCTAATCGTGGTAACAAAATTGCTTTACACTTAAAAATATCTGTAGTTTTTTCCACCTTTTGAATCTGTTGTTTCAAACCCGGTCAAAAGCACTGATTTTGACTCCTTGTATATGGACCATTCAATTGCATCATTTATAGTTTATACCTTTCAGATTTGTCAATATCTTCCTCAAGCGGTACTTCTATATTTACAGACCGTAGGGAATTTGCTGAGCCTAAGTCACTGTCCTCGATCATTTCACAGAGAAAAATAATTTTTCTTTTCGGGGTGAAAAAGTTCTTAGATCAAATCTGATTAATTATTTTAAATTACGACAACTGCACTTGGAAACTTGTCCAGATACATTGTTTTCCCTTGATCACGATCCAATGACTTAGAGATGACGAAAAACTTAAAAATGGGGAGGTGAAAAGAACAAAGGACACACATAGGTAAACAGAGAGTTGAGCGAGTTTTATTTTCAGTAAAAATTAAGAAGACCCGAGCTCATTCAAATTGTACGCGAACTATGATTTTAGTTCGCTTAAAGGCGCATGTCACTCTCCCAATAAATTTTGGGAAATCTTCATCTCTAAAACAAAGCTGCTACACTTCCGAACCAAAACTGATGTTCAGCTAGATTGAAGTTGACAATTCATGTTGATTGAAAATGAACAGAGGTATCATTAAAACCATGTTGTAATTCCTTTAGGAATGTTCTCTGGTCACTACTAGCAATTCTTACTCGGTTCAAGCCTCGTCGTAACGGTTAGTTTTATTTCAGAAACAGACCACTGAATGGGTGTTCGATTCTATTGTTGTTACTGTGAAATATTGCAGATGTATCAACTGTTGGAAAAATCATTTTAACGTCGAAATGGTAGATTGTTATTTCATCTGTACTTTTTTCCGATCTTTCCTAAAACAATAAATGGTGCAGGAAGAAGCCCACCGAATTTTTTCAGCCAAAGTTTCTTTGCCATTAAATGAAAAACAGAACGCGTCCTGAAATTGTTTCTTGCAAAAAACGCCAAGAAATTCACTTGGTTGAGAGAGAGAAATTCACTTCATAATGAATAAGGGAGCTTAGAACTGCGCAATTTTCAAATGCATAAAAAGTATTACCTTTTATCAAATCCATGAAAAACGTTTGGTTGATCAAGCGTCAATTCAAATACTATTTACTCTCTAACTTATGCATCAAAGTCACGTGGTAAGTGAGTTGAAAAGGTTTGTTTGAATTGCGCAATATTGAAACAAAAGAACCAAATCAGCTTGGGGTTATATCTTGGGGGAGCAAGTTTCTTAATAACTTGTGTGATGCATTGTCGGAGTGGGTATTACAAAATATTTTGGTTTCATCAACTGAGTTTACAGTGTAAATTGCCGACACTTAAAAGTTTTTGAAGCTGGCGTTTCGAGCGTTAGCCTTTCGTCAGAGCGGACCTGCGAAGAAAAGCCCGGTGACGGTCCAAACATCTTGAAATGTTTACCTCTCATTTTTCAAGATCACAACTAATATTCACTTCATCTTCTTCATTAAGTCCGTGCTGTTTATTAATCATGCAAAAAAAACCATGGAGCGTGTCAGGTATTCTATTTTGAGCAGCAAAAGGGCATTGAGGGGCTCCCTCAGGCAAAATATTACTCCTCCCTGCTATCGGCTTTTGAAGTGGAACACGTAAGAAAGAAAAAACAATTTCTAAATCACGATTTCTCACTTGAGGCCCGTTTTTCAACATCTTCCATGGGTTATTACAGGTGTGCTCTGAAACAAAATGTTCTCCTCTGCCTCTGAAAGATTATCTTTAAAGCATTTGACAATATTCAGCAAATAAAACATACAATAGATGATAGATTTTTGACTAGTAAGAGCGCCCTTATCAATGAATGATTAACAAGTTGTAACAAAGCTGTGGACAAAACAATATAAAAATAAGATCGTTTAAGCAGGTAAATCGTGACAAAGGGAGGCATTTTTGACAACACGATTAACCGCCTCTTTGTTTTTACGCAGTCGAGAGAGGAAAAAATCTTTACTGTATTATAAGATCTGAAATTCCAGTTGACGTTTACTCAGATTTCATTATCTAGTATTTCGTGAGGCCACTCAGTCTTCTGTGTGCAAACGGTGATCAAAATGCTTAAAAACTCTTTAGTTCCTTTTTACAGCCATAGTTGACAGAGATGATTACTAGGGAAGTCGAAAGACTCCTTTTGTTTTTAGCTATTAGTAGGTGTTATGGACCTAAACTTTTAATTGCAACAAAGTGTGAACACAAAAACAAATATTTCCACAGCCAGAGAGCTTTCCGTCTAAAAACAATAACTTTCTTTTTCAATTTTGCCAGCTTTTGTAGCCAGTCACATCGAATAGCTATGACGCATTTAAATATGCAGATCAAATATGCAGATTGGCTTCTCGAATATTCAGACTAATCGCTAGCGAGCAACGCAGTTGTATTCATTTTTTGAAGTGAAACAAGAAAACTGAAAGGAAAGCAGTAGGAAACTTCTGCCCTAAAGTATAAACTAATAAAGTTAGACGTTAAACCTAAATACTGCTCCTATTACCCTAACGTTGGCTCACCTAAAAAACGGCTATCATTTGGCTTTCAATATAAGTTGAATTATAAGCCGGCGTGTGGGTAGTCAGACTACAAATTCACTGTTTTCAGCACTTCTATTAAATCCAAACCATAACGGTAAAATCAAGCCTCAGTTTCCAAGACATAAGCAAGATAGCAGGGGAACACGAGGAAAGCCTGTAGAGTGTAATCAATACTATCCGAAAGCTATTGATTTACGTATTTTTCGAAACTTGTCTCGCATGTTTAGCAAGTTTTTCATTGCTACTGTCAACTGATTTAAACGGGGTTCTATTTCGTGTAGGAACTACTTTGAAATGATACATAAACAATAGGGTTCCAGTCAATAGAGCTTAATTACCAAATACATTTATTGTTAGCACGCGTGTTCGACTAGAATCTTCTGAAAATTCATGAACAATACAGAGCACATTCCACCGGTTTCTTGTCTGAAACGCCCCTAAGAAAAACATAAAGACTTGAATTGGACAAGAATACTGGTTCTGGCATAATTTCCACGTTCCAGAGTCAAACGTCTTCACAGTACATATCGAAGAATGAATTGATTTACCAAAAGGTTAATTTCATCCTCGACCAATGAAGCTCTCTAGTTGGACTCCACAAAGTCGAAATACTGTAAGATAATAGTACGCAGCCGAAACACTGCGCGCTTTAATATCGGAAGCCTCTTTAATTTGACGGCTAAGAAAGCAATTTAATTTTCTTTCCTTTTCTCAGAGGGATGCCGGATTCGTTGTACAATTACAACTCGCCAATCAGAGTCTTGCGTCTTTCTGTCTTACATCTTGATTTAGGTCTTAACTACCAAACCTAGCTCATAAAACGGCAAAGACAGAATAGAATGAAGGAAAGCTTCTCCACCTTCACAAAAGAACCAGGTTTCAACGTTAGAGCTCAGTACAAAAAAAAATTTCGTACTCCCTAATTGCACCTCGAGTCACTCTAGGCATGTCTCTTGTGGTGAAGCATTAAACTGGTCGAAAACGTGTCAATAATCCCCGCTTATTACAAAAACACACACACAAATATCTGATAGACTAGTTACTACACTTGCCTTTTACGCTGAACTGTTTTCGACTGTGGTTACCAGCATAGTGTCGTAGCGTGAATTTCAAAACCCCAGTATTCAGTTGTGGTTCGTTCTCTAGGGCAATTGTTACAAGAATTGTTCAGCAGAACAATTATAAACAAAATCACTTACGCTCACAAAAACATTCAGTCACGTGACCTGGCATCGTCTTTGTTTAACATACATCTGCTTCTTAAAGTTTTTCTCTGTCATGCTTTCTATTACAAATACAAACTTCTTTTGAACTCTAAATATTTAAAACCCTGTACGATACACCTCGGTCGAGTACATTTCAATTGTTCGTTTATTTCATAGCTTCTCATGGCTGACTTAAGCATACTCTCCTAAGCGGAACCACCGATTCCCTAAAGCAACGTGACCTTGCGGTTGACAAATTAATTCAAAGATATATTGAGCCGACATAACTTGCCCCTGGTCATGTTCTCGAGTGAGGTAGAAATTTTGGACTCTGACAATTACAGCCTCTGGCTGCTTTAAGATATTTGTCAGTAACTTTATGATAAACTATATAAAACTGTATTGCTCCGTCTCATGTGTCTTCTCTAAACCGGTTAGCAGAAGACGTTTAAGAGCCTGCGCAACTCTGACAAAGAGTAGGCAACATAGCTGCTGGTGTCGTGGTGTGGCCTTGCTCCTAAAAAAAATCCTAAATTGGGGCACGCAAAAATTGTATAATTACGCTCAGAATATAAGCATCCTGGAATTTGGAAACTATATTTAGATAAAGTATGTAAAGTATGTACAGTGAAACTGATTTTAGAGGCTTGTTTATGAAAATCCAAATAAACCAATTTTACTGGACGTCTTTGTTTCTTCTTTCTTTTTCTGTTCGTCTGCTATCTTTCTGCTTTGTATTTCTTTCAACAAATCTGACTGCTCTTTCATCATTTCGTACATCTTTTGCATTCTGGAGAAAAAAAACAGACCAAACTATTTTTAACAAAATTATTTACCAAATGCTTTCTTACTGTTTAAGCTGTGCAACTAAATACCCGAAAAATCACTTTCCTTTCCACTGGAGATACAGATGCACAAAATAGCCTTTCTTTTCTCTTGTACCATTTTTGTCGTTCTCACAATCAGCAAAGGATTATTAAAGGTTTAACGTCTGTCGGGATGATGAGTTTTTATTGACTGACTGAAAGAGCCGGATGGGAAGGTCATAACATACGAACCGAGCGCAACGAGAACCGTGTTGTATAAATTTGAGCCAAATAATTTGTCGTCTTGCCCAACTAAACTGTATCAATAGGCATTGTATATATAACCACTTTGGCGAGCGCTGGACAACTATTAAAAAATTCTACTTTAGGTAACTTTGAGTCGTATTTTTTTCTTTGTTTCAGAACTAGAAACTCATAATTCATCGAAAAGCCCGACTCGTTTTCTCATCTTTTTTTTCTCCTAGGCCTCCTTCCTCCATTTTAATTTCACGTTCTGGGAAAATGCAAAAGAGCTGTGTGAGTGCAAAACCAGACGTCTTTTTCCGGACTGGCGGCCCACGCTCGCGCGGGGTCGTACAAGTCATATGATAATATCAGTTATTCCCTTTCAACGTATTAAGTGCCTCACGTCGCAGAAGCTCCTTACTTTTCTTCTTGTTTTTGTATTCTCTCCAGAACTTTTACCATTTCCGGTGACATCTCATTAGCTTCTTCCTCGATACTAACTTGAGGTTTATCAAAACCAACGAGGCCATCGATCAACTGAAAAATGTAAGAATGGACAAAATTTTTAACGCATCAAAAGTCTAAGAATAAGAGTGAAATTTTTCCTCATTTGACTGACCTTAAAGAGACTTTCATATTTAAATTTTAGTACCAACCTTTTGTTTAAGTGTCTTAGGATGGTTTGGAAACTCGCTGTACGAGTAAACTTGCACACGTTTCATGATAAACTCTGGGAGAGAATTTTCGATGTCCACAAGCAGCCGAACCTGGGAATTGAAAAACAAAATGTACATTCGTCTAATTTCATCACTTAAGCTAACATGCACCCGAAACAGGGCTACTACGAGAATATTCTTCAACATGATTTATCTTTCAAAAATTATCTTTTCCTTACTTGAAGGACATAACGATCCATAAGTGCATTCTCCTGGATTTTGTCAATATCACCAACAGCCAGACCAACCTGAAAAAGTAGAAATTAAGCAAAATTTATAAAAATGATAACGGTGTAAATCACGTAACAGGCATGAAATAGAATGTACTGCTCACAAGATCTGGATCTCTGCCATTTTTCCCATCTTTCCCCACCAAAGTGCAAATTTTTACTCCTGACCAGTAATTATATATATGGGGGGGGGGGGG